AAGTTGTTTAGAACATTCAAACGCCATCTGTTTGATGGAGGTCCGTACTAATGCAACGTTGCAGTACCGCCACTGTTCCCCGTTTCATGGGAAACAAACTTTTCAAATCGTGAAAAACTGAAGACCGATCGGAGACAGGCCCAGGTCTCACCTACAAGTCGTCACAGCTAGAAGAAATAACTAGAATTGGTGAGGGAAGACAAACGGTCATAGGGGCAGAAGTGAGGGTGCAATATGAATGAAATCTTATGCGCTTCCGTGCTTAAGCCGTAGATTCGCCTTGGCAAACAGAACAGGTAGAGAGGTGAGACCAGCTGTATGACGTTGGTAAACGTATCATCTACCAGCCGTTAAGGGATCTCAGTACTGTATGCAAATCATCGGGCAATATCAACACTGTCCGACCCACGGGCTGTCCGTTCCTGAAACTCAGTTGGTTGGGACGCCGAAGTTTGGATTCAGTCACTCGTGGCTGGGTGGATTTGAGTCGCTTCAGGCGCTCTTAATTTGTTTCTGACTGGGATGGTCTGCAGCCGGTAGTAGCGGTCGCGCTAAAGGTCAGGTTACGTGATAGGGCGAGGACCGTTCTGAGCACTATAGCACGCTAAACTTTCGTCACAAAATTCTGCCGCTGGACCAATATTTCACAGTCGGGTAATATAATCCGGGTGCAATAAGTAATGCTTAGCGTCCGTGCTGATTCCAGAAATTCGCCCATTAAAAGAACTTGGACTACATCGCAATTACCCTTCCGGAAATTCAGCCTTAAATACAACACACACTGGCCTGAACCAGGTCAGATGGGGCAAAGCTAGCTGCATACTAGGCTAACCACTTTGTTTGTTTGTTGTTTGACCATACCAGTCTCATCTGATGCATTCTTATGCACTAGTCGTCACGTCCAGTCCCGTGCTGCGCCGTTCTGTCCCGTCGCGTACGGGACGGGAGGGGACGGGACGGCCTGGTCTTGTCTTGTTCTGCTCTCTGTCCTTTCGTCTGCCCTGCCCTCTGCCATAGGGCCTAACACCCTCTATCCTCTAATGACCCCCGTCAATTACTGTCCTTGTTCTGCCGTGTGCTGCGCATTCTGTCCGGTACTCTGTCTCCTACGCTGTTATCTCTCATGCTGGCAACACCATGCACATGGACTGCGCCCCTGACGGACCTGGTCTCGCCGACCTCAAAACCAGACAAGAACGTACCACACGTAGGCTTCGGAAGTGGTTCGGCGCCAACTCTCTCCAAATTAACGGAACAAAAACTATTTGTTATGCTCGTAGGATAAAAGCAAAATTTAAGAAGTCAGCTGACTTCACGTTTAAGTAAACGGTTCGACCGTACATACCTCAAGTGGCATCAACATTTCCAGCATCATAGCTGACTCCGGTGTGTCAAGGGGTGCCCATGTCTCGAGCGTGGTGAAAAAGAGTAGCATTCTTGTTTCGCTGCACAAATGTTGTCATTACTCTACTTCGGATCTTCTCGAAGTCATTATCCAGGCGTATATATTCCTTCACATCATTTACTGCCTGTGCGTGTGACCTGACACCGTAACAGCCACCATCTGGATGGCTTCCACATACTGATGCTGATACTAATACTGTCCTACCCTTTCCCGTGCTCTGCCTTATACCTTGCCGTATACCCCCTATTATGTGCTCTGTCAATGTTCTTTATTGGCTTTTGCCCTGCTTTTCCCAGTTCAGTCCCTTTATTGCCATAACCTGATCTGTCACGCCCTTCGGCATCACCTTCTGGTCCACTCTTTCCTTCTACCCCCCCCCCCCCCCGCCTCCCTCCTGTCCCCTGCCCTCTCTGCGCACTGCAATGCATTCCGGCCTGCGTCCCGTCCGCTCTCCAATGGGGCAAGGTCGTCTGTTGTGCGGTTTGCCGCTTATGTGCTGTCCTGTCCGGATGCTGTGTAGCACGAACATGTCGTCGATGGTCAGTATTATCTGACGTCCGTGCTGTCCTGTCCGGATACTGTGTAGCACGAACATGTCGTCGATGGCGGTATTATCTGGCGCTGCGTGTCTGGTAAGACAGCGCTGCTTTGTGCTTGTGTAAGGCTGCTGCGGTGGTAACGTAGGAGGCCGTTTTGGACTATTTTATGGAAATGTCCACGGTGGTCAAATATTTCGTGTCGGGACACCGAAGACACCATTTGAATTTGAATTGGCGTTCAAGTACGCATTCTTTGCTCCCAAATAGAGCACGTGTTGACGGTGCGGACCTTGCCAGGCCCCTGACGATGTCAGTAAACACGTCAACGCTCCAGATCAACGCTGCCTGCCTACTATGGCTCAGAACAGACGCGATTCTGCCCACTATGGCTCAGGGCAGGCGCGATCCTGCCCACTGCGGCCTGAACTGCTCACCGTCGCGCTCCGACCGGCGCCGAGCCCCTCCGACGGCGCCCGTCGGCGCGTGCGGCCCGAGCCAGACCAGTGTGGACCGGCTGGTGGCGCGGTCAGCACGCCCGTCGCCCAGCTGCGTGCAGGTAGGTCACGGTGCTGACATTCTCGAGACGCCGCGCCACGCTGCTCACGTGCCGTCACATGTGTACGCTCCGCTTGGGTGACAAAGAAGCTCAGGAACGTTGACACGTACAGCTGCGGGGTCTGGGCGCATTTTTCATCATTTCATCGATACACCGTAGAGTTAATGTTTGCAAGGCAATGCTTCAGTTTGTGAAACAACCATCAGCAGGTGTGCTGTTCATTACTGTTGGATACCTCTCACGAATTCACAAATCGCTGAACGAGAAGTAGTATCACAGGAGTAGCGTTTCAAATCGAGATAAGATCGGTCGCAGTGGCCAGTCAGTATTTTCAGGGATTGCTCTATTGGTGACTGTGTGTTGGGGTGAACGAATTTGGCATAAATCCACACAATATTGCATTACTGAGATATACATAGAAACGCCTTGAGCTCCTGGCTTTCAAGATTTATGAGTTTAGAAGTCTTATGTTGCCAGTCATCAACCTCTAATATACTAGGAGTTGCTGGTTTAACGACGCTGTGCAAATTCATCGGTTATATTATCAACACTGGACGGCTCAGCTGCGTTTATGATCACAGGTAATCATGAGCATCATTTTCAGCAACATCTGGTGAGGTTTATCGCCAATATGAAAGCGGCCAAATAATTCAGGGCCGCCGAAGCTTGAGAAAAAAGCGTTCCCCAAATTTGCATACGCAGCTCGAAAAACTTTTATATGATCGGATCACTTCAGGTTATGAAACTCGAGCTCAACTCAACTTTTTGCCTTAGAGTGCTCGCTCTTCGCATTGCAATTCCTGTTAGGCACGAATAAGAGTACCTTTAGTTCGTAATTTCCAATAATTTTAGCCTAAGGGTTATGGGATTGTGCATGCTTGCACCTTGTATGCATGATTCACATGTGCTTGGCTTACTATGCAAGGGCCTAATGCGCCGTAGCCAAGTCAGCGCCATATATTTCAAGCTATAGATATGGGAACCATCTAATCTGCACCATGACATATGCAGATCATTCTAGTAACCTTTGCTGCAGTAGCACCGGAACGTGTTTTATTGTTATATAGCTCTGAACTCAGGGAGCTAGAATTGCTTTTGAACTAGGGTGGGAGCGAAAAATTCCATCGCAAAAAGGCCGTGCAGGAGTGAGAAATCAATTCACAGTAGATGGAGCTAATGAGCTGGTGACTGATGCTTCAGCAAACAAAGGCATCTATTTCAAGTTGGCATGGACGTATTATCATAAACCTGACAAACTTTTTGGTTAACATATTAGGCCGTTAAAGTGAAACAGAATACATTAAAGCATGACAGTGTTATAAGCATAAATAATTTTTAACACCAAAAGTTTGATGCTGTACTTTGCACTTCACTTCCACAGCACTTTAACACAAAACAAAGCAAAGGGATTGAATAACAAAATCACAGAAAATTCAACAAGCATAAAGCACTCAAACAAAAGAACCTTGGACTCCTACACATCAGAGCATCATGAAGTCAAACACAATATACATACCTTTGGCTTTTGCTAAGATGGGGTCAGGGAAAACAAACATTTTGCCACTGTTTCTTACGAAATACCAATGCTTATTCCACGAAAGTAGCCTAACTTTGCCCAACGTAAAGAGGCCTTACTTCATATCATCCTGTCTAACCTGTTTGTATCACAGCAGCAGCTGTGAGCTACTGATTCTTGCACAATTCCCATTGCCACTTGTCATGCACTTGACCAACTTAACCTAACTTAGAGTAGCCCATATGTTGTACATCATCTCAACTCACCTATCTGTTGACAGCAGCACTTATGATAAAAACATGACATAGCTAATTTTTGGCTGGTTTCAACTTGCATTTTTGTTCAGCTCATTTATGTATGCTTGTTGACATCAGACAAAGTCGACAGCACACAAATCAAAACACTTGAAATCACTTTGAACAACTTACTCTGATTGCCATAGCTAACCTATGTTAAGGGCAATAATGGGTATGCTCCACAAAACAATCTCTCTTCTCCGAAAGTAACGTAACCTTTAGATGACCATGCCAGTATTGCTGTTTGCCTTTTCAGCTACAGCAAAGGCATCTACTTAGGCTTGTTTATTCATATTAATTACAAAGTTTGAGATGTTGGCTTCACAGTTTAAATGGGATGGTCTGACTATTTGCTACATACTAATATTCGACTCATATTCTAATTGCTATGCAGCTTAGAGTTTCCCTGTGTTAAAAATATAGTGCATATACACAGAACAGTCATTTGCCAGCCAGCAAACCATGACAACTATGAAAACAAAACATCTGGTTACAGAATCATGAGAGACCACTTCAAGAAATTTTGGGGCAAGTAATCAAGAGTATGAAACATGGTAAGCCCAATGCATGACTTGTGGCATCATAATTTGTCTGACGACAAAACTCGATCGATTGAAACAGAAAATGGCTAGCTCTGGTCACCATTCATGTGTTGAAAGCAGGTAAGGTAAGCAATTGCTTGAATCACAGGAGGCTTACTGGCTTCCTCCTGCTCCCCCAAGACGAAAAGTCAGTACCTTTTGCATGGTCTGCTGGCAGACAGGGTCATCCCACTCACCCCCCAAATATAAATATCAATCATGCCACCGACCTATGAGATTAAAATGCGAAACAAGTAAGAAGTGTGCATGACAAATATCTCCAGGGGGCTTTCGCCATAAAACACTTCTGTATTACCTGCGTCAGGCCTGTCCCAAAGCTCTGTATGGCAGCATTAGGATTGCCTTGTCAGGTAGCCTAGTGAGTTAGACACTCGAAAGGCTTAGATTTATCATTATTGAGCACCGCCATGAACCAAGACAACGGTTAAACGAGGGTTTCACAGGGTAAAAATGGCGGTAGAAATAAGTTTCGTGCTTCAAGTTGTCTCCTTTATTCCCCGTGAATTGTTCACTCTTGAGTGCATATCAAACATGTTTGGGCGGCTGCCGAATTAATCCAATTTATGTATGAAATACGTGCGAGTTTGCAGTTGGAGAATCTTGCAGAGAAATTGGTTAACATTTTAAGCAACAGATGGTACCTCTAGAGACAGTCCAAAAAAAAGGAAGAATATAGTGTTATCACACTCGTATGATACCACGAAAAATAGAAGAAGTCAGATAATTATAACGATCGATATATATTTGTTACCAGCTGAGTTGACTTAAAATCTGTTAAAATAAGTGCTCAAATGGTGATATCCACCATGTAAATTTAATATGGAGGACATTTCTTGAATCCTTTACTCCTGCATTTTAGGAATTATCGGGGAAAAGAAATACGTGGAGTAAAATTATCTACCAGGTCTTGCTGGTGTTCAAACCAGGCCCTGTTTTTGTGGTGGTGAGACGAAAAATAGCAGATGCGTGAAAACCTTGCATTTGGCACACAGCTGCCGATGGTAATGCATTTTGTAAAGAAGCCAAACTTAATGTGTGCAAGCGGCTTGAGTCACTAGGGTTCTTGGGCTTGGAGGTGCCTGGCGCCCTTGCTCTGTGCATACAAAGACATGATTCAGATGAAGATGAGGCAGGACGTAGGTATAGGTGTCCAGGTTCTGCAGAGCCTCGTTTATGCTTGGTGGTTTCAAGTTAGCTCGGTTTTGGACGACATCTGAAAAACTCAGAAAGGGAAATAGGGGTTTGGCATGTGCGATTAGACAATGTCAGACGGGAGTGAAAAATTCATATAAAATATGGGGAAAAGGAGGGAAAATTTCCTCCTCATAGGGTGTTGCTTTACACCCAAAGTCGGCAATTATAGGACACTATCTGATCTTGCCCGGCATCAATGCTGTGCAGGGTGCTTGCAAGAGCAAACCTCTTGACTGGTTCGTAGTGGCCACAGTCATGAGAATGATGTGCAGCGTTTTATGTAATCAACAAAATGAAAAAGAGAGAAATACTACTCATCATTGTGAGATAATAGAAAATCTAATGTTTTAACAGGCAACTTAAGAAAGCGTTGGAAAGCGCACACTCGCAGTGCACTCAAAGTCATGCAAGTGGTTCTAACCGGTTATAACCGATGTTATCTGGCTCAAACTTGCTTCCCATTGTCAGGACGGGTGTTTTGCCAGTGTTTGTCGGAAGAGGGAGCCCCATGTGCCTGGCAACACTGATCAGCTGAACATAGACCGCTGTCGGAGCCGTCACGCATCTAGGGTTCATGCCGTCGGTTTACGCAGACTGTCGGACTGTCACACGCGAATTTCGGCTCGCACGGCGAGTTAAGAGATTCGGTGTGTTTACAGCCACTGCGAATGGTCAAATGTTTCGCCGTGTCGGCTCCCGCGACAGGGTTTTAGTGGTCCGGTTTGTGTTCATTCATACGGTGATTGATCCGGCGTGTCTGTTCCCGCGGTGATTGATCCGGTGTGTCCGCTCCCACGGTGATTGGTCCAGGGTGTCCGCTCTCACGGTGATTGGTCCAGGGTGTCCGCTGTCACGGTGATTGGTTCTGTGTGTACGCTCCCACGGCGATTGGCCCGGTGTGTCCGCTCCTACGGCGATTGGTCCAGTGTGTCCACTCCCACGGCGATTGATCCGGTGTGTCCGCTACCACGGTGAATGGTCCAGGGTGTTCGCTCTCACGGTGGTTGGTTTGATGTGTCCGCTCCCACGGCTATTGGTCCGGTGTGTTCACTCCCACGGGGATTGGTCCGGTGTGTCCGCTCCCACGGTGATTGGCCCAGTGTATCCGCTGTCACGATGATTGGTTCGGTGTGTCCGCTCCCATGGTGATTGGTTCGGTGTGTCCGCTCCCACGGTGATTGGTACGGAGTGGAGGCGTCCGCGGCAGGTGGACACACCGGTCGAACAGACTAAGTGTGGAGAGACGCGCTTCCGGTGTGACATCTGCTTAGATGGGTAATGTACAACAAACTCCTGATTATTATTCAGAATGTCCGCACCGGGGCGTCAGTTTCAAACGTGAAATCCTGACGTCCCAAAAACAGATCATGCAAGAGCCACAGGGGAAGAAGG